TTGATGTAGGGGATTGGAAGAGTAGTTGTTTTTATGATGAGCATTTGACACATACATTTCCCTGTTTTTACTCTTTTTTGGATTTTCAGCACTTGGAAGTTATAACTTGGTGTACGAGACATGATTTTTTGGTGAATGTGAGGTCCCGTCATGGTCCGATTGCATCATGGCGCTCTGAAGTTCGTGAGAGGAAATCTGCTGCTATTAGGCGTGCATGGCCTGATTCAGTACCAAATTCTGCTGCAGTCTCCTCAAGGACAGATAATTCCACTCTTTTTATTGAAGAAGCACTTTCAAATCTTGATACTGAGTGGGGACATATAGATGATCCAGGAGAAGAATTGCAAATTGCACTTCTGCAGAAGGATGGGGGATCTTCATTTTTGCGTTCCAAATTGGGGGGTTTGGCTGCATTATACCCATTTGAGAGTATGAGAGCTGCTATTGATGTGCTTTTCCTACGAGGAAGCTCTGATTTGGTGGTATCAAAGCAAGCAATTGTATCCTTGTGAATGTAGTTAAAATTTATTATGCTTCGCTTTTAGTTTCTCTTGTTTTTCCCTGACTTTTCAACAGCTTCTGTATTACCTATTTGACCGGCACTGGACAATACCTGAGGACCTATGGAGATATGTTGTTGATGACTTTGCAGCGAGTTTTTGTATAACAAGGCATTCCTTACTGGAATCTTTTGTCTTTTATCTTCTTGATGACCATACTGACAAAGCTCTTCAGGTAATTTCCATCTGGTGACTGCATTATTTTTGTCTCTATTTTCTTGGGAGTTAGGATTCTACCTTTATATCTCTTGACAAGTAAATTTTCTGTTTTTATAAATAAATCTATGATATCTTGTTGTTCAAGTGTACTGCTTTTAGCCAAAATTCCATTTTAATCTTCAGCACAGCCTTATAATATTTGAACATGTGGTTTTGGTTCTTCAGTTTTCCTGGTACTTGCCAATTTTAGCACATCAGTCTGCAGTAGTTCATTTAGAAGCTATCATCTTGAAAATTATGAGTTTGGCAATTTTTTCTAGCCACGATTCAGATATATACTTTTACATGAACAGGCAGATTTATAAACCTAAAATCTGGTTGGTTATGCGAGTAATTGATCAGCACAATATGTCTTCAAACCAATATGACCAACTTTTTTGTTTTGTTTTTCTAGATATCAACTTGGAAGTATGATTCGATTACTTTTTACTGTGAGATTATTGCCTCACACCTGAACTTTTCATTGATTGATTGGTTTACCTTCTTCTGTATCTTATTGATAATTATTAAAGTACCTGTCTTGCACTGACCCTTGAAATCCTGACCTGGTAGGAAGCCTGTCGTCTTCTCCCTGAAATTTCGGGCCCCACAGTTCATCCCAAGATGGCCAAAGTATTGCTAGAAAGGCAGAATCCTGATGCAGCTCTTATGGTTTTGAGGTGGTCAGGTCGAGATGAAGCGCAATTGGTTTCACTTGAGGAGGCTGTCACCACTGTTCGGGTGCGAGTGGAATGTGGGCTTCTTACTGAAGCATTTATGTATCAGAGGGCTGTCTGCATGAAGGTCAAAGAAAAAAAGTTGGGGGATGAATCTTTTCTGAATGCTTCAGGTGAAACAAGAGATGAACATTGGACCTGGACGCAATGGGTGGAGGTTATGGTGACAGAAATATGTTGTCTTTGTATTCGAAGGAATTTGGTAGATCGAATGATAGAATTACCATGGAACTTTGATGAGGAGAAACATCTACACAAATGTTTGTTGGATTTTGCAACAGATGATCCTTTATCAACAATGGGAAGTCTTCTTGTAGTGTTCTATTTGCAGGTATTTTGCTTGTACATCTATTGCATGTTATTTTCTTTCTTTCTATCTCTTGTGCAAATGTTGGTGAAAATGATTTTGCAATCAACCAAATAAATGTATTTTGATGCTTGGTTTGTTGGGCCTTAAAAAGCTCAGCTATTGCGTTAATTACCCCGTGTGGTTCTAATGGTGTTCTATATGTATTTCAATTTGTTAATTATTTGATGTCTCTTGAAGTCATAGAAGTTATTTCATCAAAATGGAATTTGTAAGAGTAATTTATGTAATAACTGTTGCATTTTGGACTTTAGGAAAATAGTCTTGGATATGTTTGGAGAAATGTGGGCATTGAGTACTTTTAATTGCAGATATAATATAGTTGTATGGTTAGATAAGTTAATACCATGTGTAAATGCTCAGCCAACATGTCTTGGGATAATGACCACATTTTTTCAGGAACTATGCTCCTTTTTTGTCTGAGTAAAGGAAAGCTTGTTTGATTGTACCTATTGCTAGCTTTTTTCTGTTGGGATTGAAGTGTAATTCTGCTTTTGACATTCAATCTTAGCAAATAAGCCCTCGCATTTTCTGAGTTGCTAGCTCTGTTAATGGTTATTGTCTCCTTTTTATGTTTCAGCGATATCGATACATTGAAGCATATGAAGTTGATCGGAAGCTCGTGAATATAGAGCAAGAGTACATTGTGAAAAGTTCTGCCCGAGAAGAAATTTTAGTCAGGATGAGATCCACAAGTCACTGGAGATCTGCATTAGTTGTAAGTATTTCCAAAATTTAGATGGTTTCTTTGCTTCTTTTCTTCTGAAAATTATGCAGGTGTTTTGATAGTTCAAATGACATTGCAAAGTTGGGTGCTTATATCTGTGAGATTCTAAGTAAATTTAGTTTAGTTGTAGTTCAAATTTTTGCTGGAGATATGATGCCATGGGCTCAATAAAGTTTCTATCCAGAGTTAATTTTTGTGCAATAAAATGAAACTGGGGTCTTCCAAACAGGTGAAGAAGAAGAAAAGTTACACTTGGATACTCCAACCATATTTTCCTACTCTTCTTTGGTCCTATGGAGCATGTCTTATTTCCTATTACTGCCATGTTAATTTAAGTTGTAGAAATAATGTCTTTGGAACTTCTGGTGAGGGATTTAGCTTTTCTAAATACATAGTTGTGGTTCTACAGGAGAAGAGCATAGAATTATTGCCTGATGTCATACAGCAGCAACTGAAAAATGGAAAGCTTCATGAAAATGGGTTGCTTCCTAGTAATGCAGGTGGTTTTCCAGCTAACTCCAATGATGCAAGAGAACAGGGACCTATATTGACCGGTTTATTAGTTCCTCCTGTCATTTCTTCCTCTGTTCAAGGGACGAATAATGTAATGACTTCACCAATACATTCAACTCTTAATAGTTCGTCAAAACTGGGCGGATCTGTTAGTTTTCGAACCAATAATTATGGGAATTTTGGTGCATCTATGCTCCCCAAGGGATTCTTTAATGAAGCAGAAAAGGGATGGACGCCTGATAGTGGCCTCAGGAAAAATTTTAGCTTTGATGACGTCAGTCCTGCAATTCCCAATACTAATATAGCTACATCTCCAATCCGAGAGTTGAAAAGCAGTTCATCACAAAAGCCTGGGAGTATACCCAAGCAAAATGGGTCTTTGAACAAAGTCCACAGCCGAAGCTCCTACTTGAAAGGATCTATTGCAAATCCTGTCACTTCCCTTAGGAGCAACCTTGGGATGTTGATGGATTCTGCTCAAGACTCTAGTGTGCTTGGCAAACTTGCATTCTCAGACAAAACTGATGTACCTCAGATGCTTCATTCAAATGATTCCATGGACATCTCTTGGAGGTGAAATTCTTATGCCATATTCTTTTAGGAATAAGCACCATTTCTTTGACATAGCCTGCATTTCCTGCTTTAGATCGACTTAGGCAAATAAGTTTACTCATTTTGCTGTTTATTTTTCCAGTCATGATGAGAGGGGTTTGTCTGTTGAGAGAGTAGATGCAAATGGTGGGCCCAGATGGCGATCTGACGAGTCTAGTGAAGATGAAGAGCATCAAAACCAGGATAGAACTGCAGTTACAGCAGCTAATACAAGGAACATTAGGGGAGCGAGAAGAGGCAGGGTTTTGGGAAGATGATGCATCTGGTTCGCATGAAAGGAAGTTCCTTTCTTCATGCTAAAGATTAGTTAAAATTGGAGACCAGCAGATAAGCAACAGACTAGGAGGCCGTCTGAGGAAGTTCAACCGGTAATTTCTATACTGCCCTGGGAGGAAACATTTGGATGCCCCTCACTGCAGTTAGGGCTTGAAATTTGGTGATGGATCCTAGCTGTTTCATTGTTGTACTTCATATCCTAGAGTTATAGCGGAATGATATTTTACTACTTGAGATGAGATCTATATTATACATACTGGTTTGGCCAAAGTTTTGTAGCTTATGATAAACAATTTCAGGGCCCGACTGGCTTGTTCATTTACCACAATTGATGTTAATATTTTACCCTAACATGTACATACAAACCTGATCTGTTATTCAGATTGATTTTATTTTTCTCCTTAGTTTTGGTTCCGTACATTGTGGTTGTGCTTCTGAGTTAGAAGGCTTGTTTTTGTTTCTCATTCTCTTATCCGTGAACTCCAACAGAAGAGTGTGGCTGTCAAGTCTCTCGACTCATTCCAGGTATTCTGCACTGATCAACATTAACCTCTATCTCTAATTTTAATGGCCCTCGTTAACAATAATGTTAGTGAAATCCTTCGTGTCAACTGGTTGAAGGCTTCATGAAACATTGCCCGTGAGCCTCATTATATTGCTTCATTGGAAAAACTCTGTTATTCCATTACATGCAGGGAGTCCAGAAATAATGGCGGTCTTGTTACTCAATGGGCATATGTGCAAGTCAAACGTGAATGTGCATTTGGGAGAAAAATGGGGAAATGTGGATATGCATTGGAATGGACATGCCCACTAACCGTTTAAACCGCCACTTTCAAATTTGGACAATGAGAAACCTACGTGGTTTAAGGAGCATGGGCTAACAAGTTTGAAAACAAAAAATTGTTTCAATGTCTAATTCAAAATATTAAAAGAAGCAAAATCACATCCCCCTCCTGATTTTGGTTGTGACGGGCAGAAACCCTGAAAACAGGCAAAGAATTTTGAACATGGAAAGACTGAGAGCCCAAGAAGATATCAAGAAAGGGCCATGGTCTGGTGAGGAAGATGAGATACTGATGAACTTTGTAAAGGAAAATGGCCCCAGAGACTGGAGCTCCATTCGATCCAAAGGGCTCTTACCAAGAACTGGAAAATCTTGTCGTCTCAGATGGGTCAATAAACTTCAACCCAACTTAAAAAAGTATGTAGATATCTTTTGAGTCGTTGGAAAATTTTCAATTTTTGGGGGTTAATTGATTTTGCATAATTCTACTTAAGAGTATCTTGTTACCTTTGATTTTTGTGGAATTTAAAGAAGGCATGTTAAGCTAATTGTTCCCGCTTCTTGTTCTTTTATCTGTCGAACTTGCATTCTACACATTGTGAAAAGAAGAGGATGCAAATTTTCAGCAGAGGAAGAGAGAGTGGTCTTGGAGTTGCAGGCTACACTTGGAAACAAATGGGCAGCAATAGCTACATATTTGCCCGGAAGAACTGATAATGATGTGAAGAATTTTTGGAGCACGAGGCAAAAGAGGCTGGCCAGGATACTGCGAGCATCATCACAACCAAACAGGGCGCACAAGCATACAGCTAAAGCACCGGTTGTAAATGAAGCTTCTACTTTGCAAGTGAGAACTCCTAGTCCACACTATACAATTTCATTTCACAATTTCCACCTTTTTTTTTGCTTTTTTTTTTACCATCCCGTCTCTTTCTGCATCCTTTTTACCCTCAAGCCTTAACTGGCACAAGATTCGAACCTTGAACATGACAGCGAGAAAAATTCTAAGAGCCCTTCTCTGTCAACTAGATCGACACTAGTGGTTATTTCACTATTTCCACCTAACAAGCCATAATGTTGAAATTTCCATTTGCATGGATTTTCTATTTGAGAGTTTTATGTTGCATCTTACATGCTGTAATAGTTGACATTCTTTGTCATACATATTTTTACCAAACTATTTGAACTCACACGGTTTCTGTATTTTGTCTGTTTTGATTAGTTTCCATATTGCAGATTTTGGAGCAAAAACATCTTCGGATGATAAGTTAAAGAAGTAAGAAATATGTGCTCGTCAGCATAAAGTAAATCCACGTGCATAATGTCTGCTTATGAGTTTAGGTGTTGGGGTACCATTCTTTTTGCGGAAATCTTGGAAAGGGCCATAATATTTTTAAGAATCCACGCCAAGTGTTTTAGTTTGAGGGAAAGGAATTGTGCCAATTCCAATATCTTGCCTGTGATTGGCTGATTTCTCACTTGCGTCCCCTTGCCGTTGTATTTCTGGAGTTTTGCATTATCTGCTCTGATGAATTTTTTACTCTTTCAGGCCTCTGTTTCCAGCTTCAATCAGGTTAAAGAGACTTCATTACAATGTCATATCTGCTCCTGTTTTTGGTCTGAAAATGCCAATGCTATCAATATTTTGCCACCACCAGATTGCCTAAACATGGGTACAGCTGGTGTGATCTCGGGTGTTCCTCCAGCAGTTGATGAGCATACAAGTCCTCCCCAACTCTGCATCCAGAGCAACAATCATCAACCATCTGTTTCACCTCCTTTTGGAATCTCTTTCAGCACTGAGCAGCCTAAACCAGCACTGAATAACCTTCCCCTTTGGCAAGAAAATCAGGATTTTGGGGCGGAACTTGGTGAGCCAAATTTTATGGGTGCGTTGACGCAACAAGAATCTCTGGAAGTTGGAAATATGGCACAGCATAACCTGGGATTGTCACTGGATGAATTGGAGGCCACTGGCCAGAATTTTAGTGAGATTAATGACTATAAGGATAAGATGTTGACGATACCTGATACTCTATTTGGTGATCTCTCGGATGACATGCTTGATAATCTAGATGCAGTTCCAAGATCATCTTCTTAATTCATTAGCTATCGTTGTTATTTTACGTATGTTCTATCAAAGAAGCAGGAGCTTCTGCATTTTATATCTAGTTTGCTATCAGCGTTTTTAGCATTTTGGGATGATTTTCTTTGGCTGGTTCTAATGATTCAGAATCTATTTAAGAATGTGCTGGCGTCAATATTGTTTGGGAACAAGTACTTCAAAGGGCTGATAAATCTCAAACTACTATGCTTAAATACGCTGAATTTTTTTCCAACTAATTTGAGTTAAAAGAAGAACCTCATCTTTTTCGCAGTTTGTATTTAATCCCAACATCAAACTTAATCACCCTTTACCATATTAGCATGGCTTACTCATTTTCCCCCTCTGGCCAAATTTTTAACCATATAATCAAGTCACAATGACCTTATCCGGAAAAGGAAAGTGGATGATAAAGGAGAGTAACATTTAGTACCAGGCCTGTTAATCGGGTCATCAAAGCCAACTTCAATAAGCTCAGACTCAACTGATATAGTTAGTACCACTTTCGAGTTTCGAACTATGAGTTTTGGATTAATAAATATATTTGACTCATAAAATATTCAGACGGTTCAATTTTGGCCCAAACTTACTTATTTTTCCTTAATTTTCTTAATATAATAACTATAACTATTAGGTTCTGAAGTTAATTTAACATCTATAGGACCATAACATTAAAGCTATACACAAACCAGTAACAATTAATTAAAAAGTATATAAACCAAGAATTTTTTAACAATAATATATCCAGTTAGTTTAAAATACATGATAAAATTGTAATAAAATATGATCAACAGTCAATACCTTTTCAAAGATCCTCAATTTGCTCATATTAAGATTTTTCCATTTCCTTGATTTGAACAGAAATACAGCTTTTAAATCCAAATAGAAGTAAACAAATTGATTTGTTTCATGAGTTACATGAGAACTTAAAAAAAAAAAAAAAAGAAAGAAAATAGACCAAGGAATGATGGTGACCAGTTCATGTAGAGTTTAAATTGGTGGAGTATACAAAAAGCATGTTTTGTCATTAAAACTACCCATATATGCTTAATTAAAATACAAGCAACCATTACAAGCATCTAGGTAACATATTAGAGATATTGAAACCGTTAAACCATAATCTAACTACTTGGCATAAGAAGTAGCCAATATCGTACCCACACAAAAAATTACTAAACCTAAAGGCAAACTAGGAATTACCACTATTAGACCTCAAGAAAGCAATAGAATTGTTAATTCTAACTCATAAGTATATTTAGGGTTTTGGATCGTTACTTGCGTTCTAAATTTTTTGACATAGTTTTGTATATTTAATATTTCTTATATATATTAATATATTTTGACGTATAACTCATAAGTATAAGTGTTAGTATTGTATATTTAGATATATAATTATATATACCAAAATATGAATATATTATATACAATTATATATATAGATACAGATTAAAGGGTTGGACTTATATCAGGTTTTAAAAAATTAGACTCATCGATCTTTTTCTTGGGCCGAGTGAGTTGAATTTGGAATAAGCCGACCCATGTACAGTCCTGTTTAAAACCAAAGAGCAAGGGAGGGAAAGTGTGAGTTTTGTCTTGTTAGATGAGTCAGCTGATATTAGAGTCACAGACGTGTACGAGGTGAAGCATTCGAGTTTTATCTTGTTAGATGAGTCAGCTGATATTGGAGTCACAGACTTGCACAAGGTGAAGCATTCTAACCAGAAAGAACAGGGCAGAAACAGAGGATATAATTATCCTATTAATAATGATGGCGAATTCTGCTCTTCAACTACCGATCATCGACCTCAGCTGCTCCGACCGCATCTCCACCGCTCAGTCCATTCGTCAGGTCATTGATTCTTCTTCAAACACCTTCTAAAATCCTCTTTACTACTCACCCTATCCCGGCATAGTTCTTGAAATTCCAATGAATTCTTGATTTTCTGGGTCATAATGAAAATCACATTGTAATCAGGCCTTTAATCGGTACATTTGCCCCAGAAGCATGTGAAAACAGTTGAGAAAGTTAAAGAGTAAGCATGTGAAAACAGTTGAGAAAGTTAAAAGAGTTTTCTGCGAAATTTAAGAAGCGATGAGGCACAAACCTTATAGGATGAGCTATGCTATAAAAATCAAAATTTCCTGTTTAACTGATGAATTTGGAAGGGTCTTTTTCCTTGAGTTTGTTCGCAATGAAAAAAGTTAGGATTTAGAGCAAAAATTGGTTACTAATGCAGAAACCTTAAGAAAGTCTCCCAAGACACTAAATTTGCTGTTAAAGACTAATTTTGCATGAATAAATTGGAATATACGGGAATTAAATTCCACCCATCTTGATTCTCATGTTTACTTCGTCGTCTCTACGCAAAAGAAGTGAATTCTATGTGGTAGAATTATAGTAATATCAATAATATTTTCGTTTGAATTAATCAAACAATAAGTGGTTCATTTATAACTTAGGCATGCATGGAATATGGTTTCTTTTACTTAATCAATCATGGAGTTGAAGAAGAGCTGTTAAAGAGGGTGTTCGAAGAAAGCAGAAAATTTTTCGTGCTCCCCTCTGAAGAGAGAATGAAAGTGGTTCGAAAGGACCATCGAGGTTATACACCGCTCTATGCTGAGAAACTTGACCCATCTTCCATATCCAAAGGTTTGTTCGCTAAATATAACTTCTTAATATCATTGTGTTTCTTTTCTGCTAGAGTTTTTTGATGCTCTGAACTGGGCTAAAAGATATTACTCAACTTTGCTAGCTAGTTATGTTATTTTGCTTGTCTAACTGGGATATTTATCGGCCTTGATAGTGGAAGCATATTTAGTCAGTTTTGTCCAATGTGCAATGTTTCCTCCTAATTGTTAATAGTCAGAATCTGCTCTCAGATTCTTGTTGATGCCAGCATTTGTTTAGATTGGGCTGATTTTAATGCTGCGGCTGGGTTTGGGATTACTTGGCCTCTCTCTCTCTGTCTCCTGGTTGGCTGATAAATTGTAACATTTTGAGCATCGATTTTGTTGTGGACATGGATGGGAATTCCCATGTTTATCTTTGTTTACAACAGCTATAGTTTTGTCATTGGTGTGAAGAAAAAATGCTTGGTTTGTTAAAGACACTTCTCTGAGTTGAATTTGGTGCAAGAATTTCTCAAACAAATTCTGCAGAGCGAATGTATATTTCTTAATGAAACCGTAGGAGGTTTTATTGAACTTTGTTCATATCCAACTTTCGTTTGTGGACTAATAATTAGATGGTTAATGTGATGGCCCCACCTCCCCCTAGGGCGTATCAAAGGGTTCGGCGGACCGCCTGCCCAACTCTCGCTAGAATTCACTCACTCGTATTTCACGCATACATCCATAGACAATAAGTAACATCGCAATTCAACCTTATAATATACATCGATGCACAAATCAAGATACAAAGCTTCTATACACCCGAAATACTTCAAAATGTATATAATCCAAGTACAAATCATCTTAAGCGAGTGATAGCGCGAGTACAAGTCAAAATTCAAAACAGCTAGACTACGTTAGTTTGTACACGTCTCACGCCTCGCTCGTACCCCCTGTAAGAAAAACAAATGGAGTGGAATGAGCTAAAAATCCAGTGAGATTCCAAATAGCAAGTTGACTAATATTTAAAAGTACAAGTATCAACATAGCAAAAGATAGCGAGCATAACAAGTTCATAAAAGTGAACAATAACACTTCAAGTAACAAATCTCAAAATGAACGAGTGTAGAGTGCTTTTGTTGTTCAAAAGAAACAATAAGCCAATAAGCAATAATCATTTCCAAGTATAACGATACGGATGGCTCTCAGGAGCCAAGTTCACATTGCTTCACCAGAGCTTGATCAAATATTAGTTGATACTCCGTCAATTTTCAAGTAAAGTAACCAATCCAGTAGTACTTCGCTTAACTCCAATCCGTCTACCATTCAACCCCCTTACCGGGTCCGAACACCAACTAAACACTGGTGGTAATACTCTAGTATACCGATTAGTCGAGAAGATAACACTCCACTCGACATCACTAACTACCCATGGTTCGTTATCTAATCGACCAAACCCTTGCCGGCTCGACTCGATTAACTAGCCAGTGGGGTTTGGGTTCCCAAAAATTCGATGAGATAACATCTCCAATCAACTGAATCAAGATAAAAGTACGGAGACGGGAATGAGAGGTACCTCCCACTCGGATTGAGTGTGGTACATACTGCCGCTCAATACTTACAAGTCACGCACAAGTATATCAAGTCAATTGTAATAATAACGAGTACACATCACATTAGGGCAAGTGCGATAAAATACACCCTTACCCGATTATACCAATCACATATCATTCGATCACATTGGTCAAATATTGAAAACAAGTGTCCAGTTCAATCAGGTATTTGGAAGCACTCACCAAATGTCTAGTGCCTCTCAAAAGTCACGTTCAGGTCCAACTCCTTGGTTGGAGTCCAAATCTGCGATAAAATATCATTTGCGAATGTAAAACGCTCTAGAGTTCGAAACATAGAAGTTTCGGTTTAAGAAAATCAAATAAATACAATTCGCTTAAGTAGTATTCACGATACTTATCAAATTTCGAAAAATTCATGCTCACTCTTACACATTTGAAACTTTGAAACAATTACACTTGAAATACCATTTGAGTCGAAGAAATGGAGAAAACGTATTTCTATGAGTCGTAAATTTCATTTTCCCAAGGGTACAAGGTTGGCCAAATTCTAACTTATATATTTCGATAAAAGAAAACGCAAATATCCTAGATGGTTCAAGTGGTATTCGCTCTTAAGCCTTACTTGTGTCGCAAGTATATCTACATAGCTCTCGAGCGTAAATTTGGGCAGCATGCCCTTTGTATTACCTATTTTTCAGCCATTTATGGCATCATTCTTTCCTCAATCAACCCCACAGTTACACACAAAATAATCTCATTTCAATAGCCGTTCAATAGGGTCAAAGTCATACAAGTACAAAATCAAGCTAA